CGTTAAGAAGAAAAAGAGAATGAACAAAAACATAGGAAAATAGTCTAACAATAAAATGGCACTAAATACACATCAATAATCATGTTAAATGTAAATGGCTTAAATGCTCAAGCAAAAGGCAGAGGGTAGCTGAATGGATAAGAAAACAAGAGCCATATATATGTTGCTTCCAAGAGACCCAACTCAGATAAAAAAATATATACAGACTAAAAGTAAAGGAATGGAAAAAGATATTACATGCAAATGGAAAGGGAAAAAAGTGGGGATAGCAATACTTATATCCAACAAAATAGACTTAAAAACTAAAGCTATAGTAAGAGACAAAGAAGGCCACTAAATAATGATAAAGGAAAAAATCCAACAAGAGAATATTACTCTAGAAAACATTTATTCACTCAGCACAGGACCACCTAAATATGTAAAGCAAATCGTGATGTACATAAGGGGAGAGATCAACAGAAATAAAATCATAGTTGGGGATTTTAACACCCCTTTGACTTCAGTGGATAGATCTTCCAGGCAGAAAATCAACAAGGAGGCAATGGCCTTAAGTGACACACTAGATTAAAGGGATTTTCACCCTAAAGCAGCAGGATACAGAAACTTTTCAAGTGCACATGGAATGTTTTCTAGGATGGACCACATGTAAGGACACAAAACAAGTCTCAATAAATTTAAGGGGATTGAAATCATATTAAGCATCTTCTCTGACCACAATGAAACTAGAAAACAATCTACAGGAAGAAGATTGAAAAACACACAAAGGCATGGAAGCTAAATAATGTTATTAAATAAGAATGGATCAACAATGAGGTCAAGGAAGAAATCAAAAGATACCTTGAAACAAAAGAAAATTAGGACACAAGCCAAAAACTGTGAGACACTGGGAAAGCAATCCTAAGAGGGATATTCATATCATTACAGGCGTATTTCAAAAAAACAAGAAAAAGCTCAAATAAACTATCTAATTTCACACTTAAAGGAACTTGGTAAAGAACAATAAACAAAGCCCACAGTGAGTAAGGAAGGAAATAATAAAGATCCGAACAGAAATAGAGTCTAAAATAAAATAAAATAGATAAGTAAAATAAATAAAATAGAGTCTAAAAATATGATACAAAAGATCAATGAATCTAAGAGCTGGTTCTTTGAAAAGATAAACAAAATGGACAAACTTTTAACAAGACTCATCAAGCAGAAAAGAGAGAGGAACCAAATAAATAAAATCAGAAATGAAAAAGGAGAACAATTGACACCAAAGTTATACAAAGGATTGTAAGAAAATATTATGAAGACCTCTATGCCAACAAACTGGATAATCTGGATGAAATCATTAAATTTCTAGAAACGTACAATCTTCCAAAACTAAATCAGGAAGAATCAGAAAATCTTAATGGATAGATTACATCTAGTGAAATTGAAGCAGTAATCAAAAAACTCCCAACAAACAAAAGCTCTGGACAGGATGGCTCAGGTGAATTTTACCAAACATTTTAGGAGAATTAAAATTCTCAAGCTATTTCAAAAATTTCTCAATTTCTCTCCTTCTCAAAGTATTTCAAAAATTTCAAGAGCAGGGAAGGTCCCAAACTCATTTTATGAGGCCAACATTATCCTAATTCTAAAACCAGATATGGACACCATGAAGTACAAAAATTACAGGCCAATAGCCCTGATGAACATAGGTGCTAAAATCCTCAACAAAATATTAGCTAAATGAATACTGCATCTAAAAGATCATACACCATAATTAAGTGTGATTTACTCTGGTAATGCAAGGTTGGTACAATTTGCAAATCCATAAATGTGAGCCACCACATAAACAAAGAGAAGTATAAAAACCACATGATCATATCAATAGATGCAGAAAAAGCATTTGATAAAATTGAGCATCCATTTATGATAAGAACTCTCAGCAAAAGGAGAATTGAAGGAACATACCTACATTTACAAACATAGTAAAGGCCATACATGACAAACCCACTTCCAGAATCACACTCAATGGATAAAAAGTACAAGCATTCCCCTTAAGATCGGGAGTAAGGCAGGAATACCTACTTTCACCTCTCTTACTCAACAGAGTACTGGCCACAGCAATCAGATAACAAGAAGAAATAAAAGGCATCCAAATTAGAAAGAAAGAAGTAAAACTGTCTTTATTTGCAGATGACATGATACTGTACATACAGAATCCCAAAGATTCCACCAAGAAACTACTAGAACTGGTAAGTGAATTCAGCCATGTAGCAGGATACAAAATTTATATCCAGAAATCAGTTGGATTTTTATATGCCAATAACAGAAAGGGAAATTTAAAAAACAATCCCACTTACAATTGCTTCAAAAAGAATGAAATATCTAGGAATAAATCTAAACAAGGATGTAAAAGAACTGTACTCAGAAAATTATAAGACACTGAAGAAAGAAATCGAAGAAGATACAAATAAGTGGAAGCACACACCGTGTTCATGGATAGGAAGAAGTAACATCATTAAAATGTCCATACTACCCAAAGCAATCTATAGATTCAATGCAATTCCTATCAAGATTCTAATGATGTATTTCACAAATATAGAACAAACATTTCAGAAATTTATATGGAACCATAAATGACCCTGAATAGCTGCAGCAATTTTGAGAAAGAGGAATAAAGTGGGAGGGATCACAATATCTGATATGAAACTGTATTACAAGGCCGCTGTAATCAAAACAGCCTGGTACTGGTGTAAGAACAGACACATAGACCAATGGAACAGAATAGAGAGCCCAGAAACAAACCCACACCTTTATGGTCTATTAATATTTGGCAGAGGAAGCAAGCACATACAATGCGCTAAAGATGGTTTATTCAATAAATGGTGTTGGGAAAATTGGACAGATAACATGCAGAAAAATGAAACTAGATGACTCTCTTACACCACAGCCAAGAATAAACTCAAAATGGATCAAATACTTAAATGTTAGACTCCAAACCATAAAAATCATAGAAGAAAACACAGGCAGCAAAATCTCAGACATAGCTCGCAGCAGTATTTTATCAGATATCTTCCCCAGGCAAGGGAAATGAAAGAAAAAAAATAAACAAATGGGACTGCATTAAACTAAAAAGTTTTTGCACAGCAAAGAAAAACATCAATAAAACAAAAAGACAGCCCACAGAATGGGAGAACATGTTCTCGGACACATTGATAAGGGGTTAATACCCAAAATGTATAAAGTACTTACAAAACTCAATACCAAAAAATCAAACTACCCAATTAAAAAATGGGCAAAGGACCTGAACTCACACTTCTCCAAAGAAGACATATGGATGGCCCATAGACATATGAAAAGATGCTCGACATCAGTAATCAGAGAAACCCAAATTAAAACCCAATGAGATATCATGACACCTGTCAGAATAGCTATTATCGGCAAATCAACAAACAAGTGCTGGCAAGGATGTGGGGAAAGGGGAACCCTTCTGCACTGTTGGTGGGAATGCAGATGAGTGCAGCTACTGTGGAAAACGGTATAGAGATACCTCAGAAAATTAGAAATTTATCTACCTTTTGACCCAACTACTCCACTTCTGGTACTACATCTGAAGGAAGCCAAAGCGCTAATTTGAAAGAACATAAGCGCCCCTATGTTCATTGCAGTGTTATTTACAATTGTCAAGACATGGAAGCATTTGTGTCCATCAGTAAATATGTGGATAAAATAACTATGGGACATATTTACACAATGGAATCCTACTGGGCAGTAAAAAAAGAAGAAAGTTTCACCCTTTTGGACTGCATGGATAGACCTGGAGAACATTATGCTAAGTGAAATAAGCCAGTTACAGAAAGACAAATACCATATGATTTCACTCAGATGTGGAATCTAATGAACAGACTGAAGTGACAAGCAAAATAGACACAGACACATACCAGGATGATGCCTCACGGGGGCAAGAGTAGGGGTTGGAAAGATTCAGCAAAAAGGAAAAAGGACTCAGGAACATGGACAAACTGTGGTGAGTGCGGGGTGTGGGTAAAGGGGGTATAAGGGGACTAAATGGTAATGAAAATTTTAAATAAAATATTTTTTTAAATTGAAAAACATTAAAAACAAAACAACAAAAGCCCTTTAGAAAAAGTCTGCAACTAGAACAAAAAATTAAGGGGCAGGTGGCTTTTCACCTGCAAACGGCTTGCCAGGAACTCAGTCGGTGGCAGAATCTCCAGGCTCTGTACCTCCCAGCCAAGAGCGCGACCCACTTCGGGCCCTTTTCGAGATTTGATTTGAAATCTGGACGCGGAGCGCTCCGTGGAGGCAACGGACCTAGGTGCGGCGAATGCGTAAGCTTCCGCGTGTGCACGCTCTGCCCCGGAAAAGGTAACTGGGAGCAAATGGCAAGTGCTAGTGGTGCGGCCTATGCTTGAGCTGGGAATACCAGCCTTGCTGAGGGGGGAGGGGCAAAGAGCGTGCGCAGGCGCGGGCACGCTTTCCTCGCTAAGTTCGGCGATCTTGCTTAGGCGCGCGGCCGTGAGGTCGTCTGGGCGGGGGCGGGGGCGGGGGCGGGGGCGGGGGCGGGAGGGCGCTGCGCGCGCACAAGTCAGTGGGTCGTGACGTTTGCTGCGTTACGCACGACGTCACGGGTCCGTGAGTAGTGGCGGCTGGGCTGCCCTCCACGGCAGCGCCTGAGTAGGGCGGTGCTGCTGTTGGGTGAGGCTTTCGGTGGTCTCTTGGCTCGCGAGGCGAGGACGGGGACGACTACCCGGAGATCCAATACCCTCAGCCGAGGAGTCCCCACTCCCGCCCCTTTTTCGGCATCTGGCGGCGCCCTGCTCGAGGCTTCCTCTTTTCCTGCCCAGCTTCTCCCGGGCCCGAGGGGCGCCGAGTGGCCCCGGCTTCCCGCGACAGATTGCGTGCCCACCTCTCGGTTCGTTCGGGGCTGCGCTTGAAGGAGGAACGGGCCTGGCCGCCCGGCCCGCGCTCGACTCCTCGCGTGCCCCTCCGGCCCCCGGGGCCCACGGCCTCCCCTGACGGGGTGGGGGGCGGGTGCGCGGTGACAGACCGTGCGGGTCGGAGGGGCAGGCTAAGAGGCCGGCGGGGGCCACTCTTCAGGCCTGCGGTTCCCCACGTCCCGCGGAACGGCCGGTAAGTGCCTCTGTCCGTCTGTCTGTGTGTCTGTGCGCGCGCGCGCAGACTGCTGGGTTGTGTAGCTGTCGGACACGTACTCTGCAGGGATGTTAGAAGAAAGATTGCAACTGGTTCCTGGGAGAAGCAAAAATGTTACATGCAGTAAGCGAAAAAGTGCCTATCTTTGCATTGTCACATTATGGTAATCTATTGATCAGGGTTGATTTCACCTTCTCTCTTTACGGAATATTTATCTGCCCACCTAGCACTTACTGGGCCCCAGGGAGTTGTCTTGTATTGTCTCACTTCGTCTTCTCAGCCCAATGAAGTGGTACGTGTTTCCCATTTTACAGATGAACATATTGAGTGTCCGGTCCAGGAATTTGATCGAGGTCATGCAGCTGGTAATCTGGGAAGCTTTGATTCGAATACGATGTCTTTTCTATAGAACTGTATTTCTGCGTCTTTCAAAATAAATATTTAAGGAAAAGGAATACCTGGAGAGTTTCTTCCTGGAAGTAAATTCTAAATATATAGGTAGATGTAGTTTACTTTCCCCTAACATAGACTGATGTGTTTTGTTGCAGCCTAGCCAGATCATTTCTTGGCTTAAGAGTAATGTTATTTTAAAAGATGGCTTCGACACCTTTAACCTTTTTTGCAGTAGGACTGAAGAGAAAGAAATTTCCCCTCTTAAGAAATATATTGGGGAAAACTGCATATTTTCTGAAAAGTTTAATTTTTCTTCTGCAGTTTATTCTTGATGCATACTGGGAACTTGTAGTTGGCTTATTTGCTTGATATTTCCTTATTGCAAAATTTGCTATATTGTGGGACAGTAGCAACACACTTAGTAATTTGTGCATTGTCTTATGCAATATTTCTAAGTTGAGTGTCAAAAATTTGAAGTGTAGAATATTGTACAAAGTTGTATTTTAATGGTGTGATTTTTTCCTTTTATTTATGTGTAGCCATCAATCAATGTTTATAAACAAACTGCCCATTCTCATTTTAGCATTGGCCTGTGCTATTTCTTTCATTGCAATGAAAGAGATGCTTAGGCGATGCTTAGGTTCGCAGTCCTGCGCTCAATCCACTGAGCTACACCAGCCAGGGCTACATTTTTCTTTACAGAGGAAAATGTTGATACATTTCTTTGAGTAATTGAAGCTTCATGCATAATTGCAAACGTTTAAAAAATCTATTAATGCACAATTATAGTACTGTATAATTTTCTCTAGGTTTAAAAAAATTTGTACTCGAATGTTCTTGTAATGTTTGTAGAGAAAATACAAAATTAGAGAGTTAACAAGTAGATGGTTCATACATTGACTTGTTTGGTTAAAATATGAACATGTTGAGCCATGTTTAATTATGTTGAATATGTTACCATTAAAGAATGGTTGTCTAGTCATACTCTCCATGTGCCTCTTTTGAGAGAACTAGCTGTTATAGGCTTATCTCAAATAATGGGATTTCCAGGTACATTATAGACTCAATCTTTTAAGCAATGTTTTAGGTGGAGCTTTCATTCTTAGTTAACCTTATTGCTCCTGAAGGGGTAAACAATGTTTAACAGATGCTAAAAATGAAGTCATGTTTGGTTCTTGACAGTTCCCACAGCTTTCGTTTCAGGTTGTTGTATTATTTTCCTTTGTAAAATTGGCGCTCTCTAGCCTCCCCCTCCCCTTTATTATGAAGCAATTTCAGGCATACAGAAAATTGGTAATAGTGATGATCCATATGATGACCCTCTGGAGTCAACATTTGTTGCTATCTTGCCATATTTGCTTTATAAATATGTGTATTGTATTTTTGGCTTAACCATTTGAAACTACGCTGTAGAGGTCATGATACGTCATGCCTAAATATGTTAGCATGCCTCTTCAAAGATAAGGACATTTTTTTAGATATCCAAAATATCATTATTGTTGATTTTCTTAGTTAACATTTTATTATTGGTAATTAGTTAATAGTTCCTTACTGCTAATTCCTTAATATATTCTAATATTCATCCATATTTAAATCTCCCCATTTGTACTGAACATCTTTTATGGCTTTTTACAACCAACCCCACCAAGCCAGGATCCTGATGAAGGTTTATACATTGCATTTGGTTGTTAAATCTCTGATCTCTTCTAATCTAGAATAGTTTCACCTCCTCCCATGAAAAATACGAGTTTTTAAAGTGATCAAGCTAGTTGTCTCATACAATGAATCACACTCTTGATTTGTCTGATTTTTCTTTTCCCCTCATGGTGTCATTTAAAGTGTTCCTCTTTTCTCCCTTTGTTAGCTAACTGTAAGCTAGGTTTAAAAGGTTGATTAGTTTCAAATTAAATCTTTTTGGGCAAGAATAACTACTAAGTGATGCTGTGTATTTCATACTGCTTCTCATCAGGAGACATATTAAGTCCAGTTATTTGTGATGCTGAATTTTATCACTTGGTTTTGGGGGTAAGGTATTTTTTTCTCTGCCGCAATTAGCAAGAAACGTGTGGCAAGATAAATTAGCATGGTAGTGCTGACCTCTTCTCCATTGAGCTCTTGTGTAATAGTTGTAGCATCTATTGCTGGTTCTTATAAGGCTAACTTTTGAATTTCAGTGTTAACAATTGTTTCTTGGTCTACAGTTAGAAACAAAATCACAGGATTTTGTAAAGTATTCTGGGCAGCTATATGTATTAATCAGATTCTGATTTTGTGGTTTTTAAGATTTTTAATTATGAATTTGAGATGTCTTCTGTTACGCATTGAAAAGAAAAAACCTGGCTTGAGAAGAATGGAAAACACATAATACTTTTTTCATGTATTCTCACTCAAGGAATGTGTTTAAGGTTTTTTTAGCCAATATTTGTTGCACAGGAATAGCTAGAAGTATAATAAAGGAAGAGTGCGTTTATTAAAAAACCATTTGAGAAAACTGTCCATTTTCTGGTGTAATGGGAGTCACTGGATTAAGAGTCAGAAGATCTAAACTGTAGTCCTAATCCTACCACTATGTGAAGTTCAAGAATTAGAAGTTTTGCCCTGGCCAGTGTGGCTCAGTGGTTGGAGTGTTGTCCTGTAACTGAAAGGTTGTGTGTTCGATTCTTGTCAGGGCACATACGTAGGTTGCTGTTGATCCCTGGTCCTTGCACGGGTTCCCAGTCTGGGTGCATACGAAGGCAACTAATCAATGCTTCTCTCCCATCGATGTTTCTCTCTTTCCCTTCCTCTCTCTCTTTAAAAAAGTAAATGAAAATATCCTCGGGTAAGGATTGGGGGAAAAAAAAAAGAGCCCTGGCTCGTGTGGTTCAGCGGATTGAGCGCCAGCCCTTGAACCACAGGATTGCTAGTGGTATTCCCCAGTCAAGGCACATGCATAGGTTGCAGGCCAGGTCCCCAGTAGGGGGCACGTGAGAGGCAATCACACATTGATGTTTCCTTCTCTTCCCCCCTTCCCCTCTGTCTAAAAATAAAATAAATAAAATCTTAAAAGAAACAGAATTACAAGTTTTTTTAAACTTTGTTCTCATTTCATAGTGATTAAGTCAGTAAACAAATTTGATAATGAAATGTGTTGATTATATTTAGAGGTGAACCTCATTTTAATTAAGCCAGATAGAAATAGATCAAATACAGTAATATAAAGTTTATTTCTCAACTAATTAACTGATACTTAGTAGATGATTTCTAAAAAAAATTATTTATTTTTTGAGGGGGAGGGAGGGAGAAAGGACGAGAAGCATGGATCAGTTCCCTTTTGAAAGTGCCTCCACTGCAGGGAAGCAGATGGAACCCACAACCTAGGCAATGTGCCGTGACCAGGAATCAAATGGGTGACCTTTAGCTTTTCTGGTAATGGCCAACCATCTGAGCCACACTGGTCAGGGCAGTAGGTGGTTGTTTTAAGTAAGGGTTCATAACAGGATTTACTTTAACACATTGTCTCATTAATAGTAAGATTTAATTCATGAAACAGTTTACATGAAGTTTTTCCACACATCTTTTGTAAATTAGGATGCACTGTATATGTGGAAATAAAAAAGTTTATTTTATTATTCTTAAGTGTTGTGTGAGGTATGTGTCTATACATGTACACACACACACAGCTGTAAGAAATGTATTGGTATAACTTTGTCTTTTGTCTTGGATATTCCTGAGATTGGTTTGCAACATTGGTTGATTTCCTTTCTCATGGTGGTTAATTACATGATTTCTTTGTAACATCTCAAATTGTTGCCTTTATTATTACTAAATTCTTAGATTGTTTTTTAATTTTTTGGTTATGCTCTGTCTACCCAATTGACAGGAGAATAGGAATAGAATTTTGGGGGGTCCCTCCTGTAACTAGCACACCGCCTTTCTTAAACTGTGCTTGAGTGCTTTGTTTAAGATTCACAGTACCATAGTACCGTAAATTTAAAAAGTACTATATGGATTATTTATCGACTTTGAAGTTGTTTCTAAAGATAATTTTTACTACTATTTGTGTAGGTAGTCATTTAGTGTGGGCTTTAATAAATAATAATGACAAATAAATGAAAAGAATAGTTAAAGATGTGATTTTATCAGTATTCTTTATATAATTTCCAAATTAGGACACCTGGTGGCCACTACCTCAGGCCAAATACCCTTAGACTACTTTGTACCTGCCTCTACAATTGTACTCACCACATTGCATGGTAATAGTCATCTTTCCTCCACTAGGAAATTAGCTCTTTAAGGGCAAGGAAGTATTTTGGTGATTTTTGTGCTCCAACACCTGCAACAATGCTTGGAGCCAAATGTTTTTGTTTTTAATTTTTTAAAAATATATTTTATCGATTACTCTATTACAATTGTCCCATTTTTTTCTCCCTTTTAATCCCTTCTGCCCTGTACCACACCCCACCCTCATTCCCCAACCTTAATTGATGTCCATGGGTCGTACATATAAGTTCTTTGGCTTCTCCATTTCCCATACTATTCTTAACACCGCCCAGCTCCTGCTGGCCCCTGGTCTGTTTATCTACCTACCAATTATGCTCCTTATT